CCAAATTTTGAAACCAATGTTTGAAAATGCTCGCATCGAGCTCGCTGTCCTTTTATGAAAAAGGGATCGCAGATGGCGCGCGCTTGTCTGCTGAGATCCAGATGCTTCCCACGCCGTCACCGGGCACTTTCCAGTGTCGCAGGCGGCGGCCAAGCATCTAGCTGGCGCTGCATGTCGGTGCCGCTTGTCGGAAAGTGGGATTCCCGCAACAGGTACAGAAGTTGGTAATTGCGCTGTGCATACAGCTCTTGGAGACGGCGAAAGCCATAACAGAGTGTATCTTGATCGGCCTCATGGAGATGAGGCATGAGCTCTGTAGAGATAAACGGGATTTGGATGCCAGGGCCAAGTCCTCCCCGTTCGCTGAAGGCCCGCGGTTCTTCTCGCCAGCGTTCCTGGCCCCAAGGGTCACCTAGCCGGAACCGTGCGCGGCTTCCATCGGCCATGGTTTTATCGTTCGACTCCTGGGCCACCAATTGGTGGATGAGAACCTGGGCCCTCGTATCCCACGCATCGAAAAATGCGTGGCGCCACAGGCGCGCCGGGAAGTAGAAGTCCTTTTTCTGAGGACCTCTCAGCCAGTACACGACCACCGCAGAGAGATCCCAACCCAGGGGGACATCGTCCGTGGGAGCAAGAGTCGAAAAGTGCCTTTGCACACGCCCGGATAAGAGAACATTTCACCGCCTGGCAGGGAGGAGCCCACGGTGAAAGCCATCCATCAGCCTTGCAGCAATAGCGATTTGTGGCCGCCCAACCAGGGAGGCTGGTACCTCCACCCGAACCCGTACCTCTAGGAAACTCTGGTCATTCTGACGGACTGGGGAGATGCGCACGAGTTGTAGCAAGGGAGCAGCTGCAGGCTCATCCACTAGGGCCCATGCAAGGTAGAACACCAGCTGTACCGGCAGCAGCACACCACAATGAAGCAATGGCGTGCCCTGATTCGGGTCCACGCTCGAGCCTCCTTCCCCCCCCGTTGCGCGCAGAGCGCCTGAGCCAGTGCCTGCCATTGCGCACGGGCGACTTGTGGCCTGCCTTAGCACTGGGGAGCGAGAACTTCAGACCCGCAAGCTCATCCAAGAGGAACCACCACCAGATCTCCGGGCGCGCCAACTCATACCACGAAAGGTCGAAAACGCGGCCTTCTGGCAACCGCAACACAGGGTCGCAGAATTGAGCTAATGCAATTCGCTTTCCGAACAGTGACGAAGCGTAAGTGCACGGTCAGCAACACGGGCTCCGAAGTTCTGAGGGCTGAACTTCGCACGCCGGCAAGGTGAGGGGCAGCGAAAGAAGGGAAAGGCAGTCCATCGGGTCGGGGAGTAGCTGGGACAGCGCATCCGCGTGCTGCCTAGCGACGGAGGACGTCGTGCTGCTCCTGGAAATCCTCATCTTCAGGCGGAACGCAGTTGCTGGAAATAGAACGGACGCCAGGCAACAACCAACTAGGCGGGACTTCCAAGGCGTTCAGCAGTGCAGCCACCCTGGCACGAGGTTGACCCACGGGGGAACTCGAGCACTGATCCGCAGCAGGGTAGTTCTCTTCTTCATTGCGGTGTCTGCTGGTGTTCTACTAATAATAGCAAAGTGGTGCTTATGGGGGGGTTTTTTTCGAGGCCGATTTTCGCGAAACGTTTCATCGAAAACGGCCTCTTCGAGCTCTGAGGCGGAAAAACTTCGAGGCTGAAAGGAGTTCTTCAGGGTCGAAATCGCGAAACGTTTCATCGAAATCGGCCTCTTCGTGCTCTACGTAAGAAACGTTGCAAAAGCGATACGTTTCATCAAAAATGGCCTCTATGGAAAAACGGAACAGAGGAAGGAGTTCTTCAGGATCGAAATGGTGATACGTTTCATCGAAAACGGCCTCTTCGACTTCTTTTTTAAAATCGTTGCATAAGCGATACGTTTCATCGAAAACGATCTCTTCGAGTTCTATGGAAAATAACATTGCAGAGAAAGGAGTTCTTTAGGATCGAAATGGTGATACGTTTCATCGAAAACGACCTCTTCGACTTCTTTTTTAAAATCGTTGCATAAGCGATACGCTTCATCGAAAACTATCTCTCCGAGTTCTATGGAAAAAAACATTGCAGAGAAAGGAGTTCTTTAGGATCGAAATGGTGATACGTTTCATCGAAAACGACCTCTTCGACTTCTCTTTTAAAATCGTTGCATAAGCGATACGTTTCATCGAAAACTACCTCTTCGAGTTCTATGGAAAAAACATTGCAGAGGAAGGAGTTCTTCAGGATCGAAATGGTGATACGTTTCATCGAAAACGGCCTCTTCGACTTCTTTTTTAAAATCGTTGCATAAGCGATACGTTTCATCGAAAACTACCTCTTCGAGTTCTATGGTAAAAACATTGCAGAGGAAGGAGTTCTTCAGAATCGAAATGGTGATACGTTTCATCGAAAACGACCTGAATCGTGTTGAGGCGGAAAGGAGTTCTTCAGGCTCGAAATCGCGATACGTTTCGTCGAAAACGCCTTCTTCGAGCTCTGTAATGACTCCAGAAAGACTCAGCAAAGACTCCAGTCTTCACCGTGAAAGACTCCAGTCTTCCTCATGAAAGACTCCACAAAGACTGAGTCTCTATCCGAGTCTCTACAGGTTCGTCCTTGAGCTAATTTTCGTCGAAATGCAGTTATAAACTCGCTCGAGATCGCATCGAAAGTTCATACGAAGGTTCGTCCTAGAGCTAATTTTCGTTGCGAAATGCAGTTATAAACGCGAACGAGATCGCATCGAAAGTTCATACGAAGGTTCATCCTTGAGATGCAGGAACGGGAAAGCCGAGTTCCATCAGTTCCGCGACGTGAGATTCATGAGCATGTTTGTATGCTTGAGGCGTATAAGCGGCAAGAGCCCACATGTTTCCGCGATGCTTTTCGAGCATGTGGTATTTCCGAGCATTGAATGAAACGGGCTTGTCATGCATGTCAACCCACGTTCCTCGAAGCAGCTTCTGACCGCTTTTCGTTTCCAGCAATGCAGTTGCTTGTCCGTTTTCATCTTCGGTCCAGACTCGACCTTCCATGAAATTACCCAAAGTGATAGCGTTCAGGATGTCTCGATGCAACGGCATTGACGGATTGTACAGCACAGCGATGGAAGTCCATGTTTGATTCGGAAAGCGCTCTCTGAGAAAATGGTTGACGGCGATGCACGCTTTTTTCATTTGAGAAGCTCTCGAAATGCCAAAGACACCGCCGTGTCCAAAGAAGCCGAGAGTGCTGTATTTTTGATAAGCATGCGGACCGATGGCTCGAGTGCGGCCACGATGCTTCCAGCGCGTTGACCATTTGTCGAGCAGCGCGACCAAGTTATGTTCGGATGCTCGGTTCATGACAGCCTCGCATGCAAAGTCGAGCTCGGTGTCGTCTTCTTTTTTTTGAGACATGCGAGACACGTATGCACGCCATGACAATCTGAATCGCCGCCCCGCCTTTTTTGTTCGTCTCGGACAAGTTCTGGAAACCGTAGAGGCTCCCCGTCGCCTCGATGAAGAAGTTGGCAGAGCCCGCCGAGATGGTTTGGTTCAGGGTCAGCCTGGTTGTTGGCGTCCAGCAGCACGGCGGTCTCGCCCGTCGCCTGTGGCATTCCCCGTTGGCTGCTGTCTCGGCCGCCGTGGTGGCTAAAGCGGCTCCCCTCCACTGCTGCCGCCTGCCGTGCCACCGTCTCCACGACGACTGCGTCGTAATTGCCGCGCCGCTCTGCTACACGGTTGCACTGCCGCGCCGATGTGCTGTGCTGCGCCTGCCGCTGCCGTTACTGCCTACTGTCGCACTGCTCCTCCGCGCCGCTCAGTTACGCTACTTCCGCGCCGCTCCGCTACTTCCACGCCTGCTGCCGCACCGCATCGCTCCACTGCGGCCTCGTCGCTCAGCTGCTGCTGTCCTACTCCCCCCCCAACCGCTTTGCTACTGCCGCGCCGCTCCTCTACACTGCCGCGTTGCTCCGCTCCGCGCCGCTCCGCGTCACTCTGCTACATGCTGCCAGCTCTGCACCGCGCCGCCTCGCTGCTGCCGCGCTGCTTCGCTGCTGCCGTGCCGCTTCGCTACTGCCACTCCACAGCGCGTCCTCCTCTCGGATTCCAAAACATGTTTGCAAATGAAGACCGGTCACCAAAACACCGTAGCCTGAACGGCGGCTCACTTCCGTAACCCTGCAAATCCGCAATGCTGCAATGAAACAACTGTGCCCAGTTTACGGTACGAGGTGAAACGATGCGCGCCTGCATTGCTCAACTGAGGATATGGCACGACAAGAGACCAAAGCCAACTAGGGCGACGGAAGTGCACCAAGTGTAAGAAATTGATGCGAAGCTAAGGGCTGCGCCTAATGTGATGCGGCTCCAGCTGACGGTTGCAAGAAGCCGTAGCAATCCGACCTCAAAGCTGGGCAACTGCAAAAAACCAAAGTTGAAAGGCCACATAGCAGCATCGGCGGCGATACTCTCCAGAGTGGTAGGCACCGATCGATCTCCTCTCTCTCATGGATGCGTGGAGGCTGGCTGGCACGAATGTTTTTTGTGTGTGTGTGTGTTGTTTGCACATCAGTTGATGGGCGTATGCCTGCAGACTGATGCCATTCTCGCAACATTGAGCGACGCATGCAAGGCTTAAATTTGCCGCAATTGACTTCTGCTTCTTCATCTATTTGGGTTCACAAGCCCCACTCTGATGGCCAGTGGACGACTATGAGCAGCACAGGATGCGAAGGCAACCGTATTGCCCCCACCTCCCGAACCGCGAAGCAGATCTACTTCGCAGTTGCCAAATAACTCCATATGACGGCATTCGTATCCTTCACACCAAGACTCCAAAGGAAGCACGTGCACTTCCAACAGCAGCCAGAACCATCTTCTCATTGCTTGGCGGTCTTGGCGTTCTACTTGTGCTTTGAAACTGCTAGGGTTGTGAACTGCTGAGCCTGATGCGAGCACGTCATCGTGGGCCCAAGTCATTAAGGACAACCCTGATGTATCGAAGGCAATGAAGGATGGGTACTTGACGGAGAATGCCCAGCATCTCAAGAACATAGGGTCTAGCATGGGGTTTGAGCTTAGACCTCCGGAATTTGGTTGTTGGTGGATTTAGTTCACTGAACCCTGACAAGGTTCTGGGTTTCAGTTCTGCTGTGGCTGATGCCTTTATTGACGAGAGCCCGCAGCTCATTATTATCGAATGAACCACCCAGCCAATCATAAGATGACCCCACAAGCAGGGCTACGCATCCACGGACCCTAATCGGGTTTAGGGCTTCCGGTTTCCAGCCTAAGCTGGTTTACTCGCTTACATGTTTTCCAGGGTCACATCCGACTACCCAGCCTACTCGAAGCTTTAAAGCCTAAACCCTAAAGCCGAGTGAAACTGAAAAACGGTAGAGACGGCTTTACAACGAAGCCACAGGGGTGGGGTGGAAGCCAAAGAAGGGATACTATACCCAAGGCCACAGCCCGCTAGTGTGCTCGACCCCATGTGTGCTCTGTCCCCACAGACCCCTCTTTGATAAGCCCCATCTGTTGAGGGACCTTCGACAGTCATCCCTGCCGCTAAGCTTTTCCGGGCCGTAGCAACTGGAATAAGGTTTTGGGGTTGTGTTTCTACTGAGGGCATCGCACGGTTCACACTCCGTACCCCAGCGTCCCAGGTCACCCGCTGGCCAACTATGCTGCCGAGGGCCTGACAAACAACCATCGGTCCGGATCAGGTCCAAGTGACTCCAAGTGAGTCAGAGAACCTAAACGCCCTTACTTAAGGAATGTACCCGAGTTTAAGTTAAAGGTACTTGAGCCATAGAGTTCAGCGAGTGAAGTCTTTCGAGCTTCAATTCTTTTACAAGTCAAAGAAATCAGCAAGACTGAGCCGTATAACTAAGGAGAACTCCACAGGGCATACGGCATATGGTTTGTGTGGGTTTCCGAGTCTAATCTGGTATGTCCTAGGCTCCTGAAGTAAGGAATGTTGTCTTAAGCCATCGTAGAACCCCTCAGCAACTCAAGGAGTATCCTAGACTCCTATACCCTTCGACCCTAAACCAGTAGACTACGGATTTTTAGGACTTTGAACCCTACACCCTGAACCTATGCACGGCATTCGGATTAGGCTCTCTGCGTGAGTCGCTAGGCTCCGGCAAGAGCTACGGTGAATGGATGCTGTGCATTCAATCACAGCCTAGAGTTTCTGCAGAAGGGTCTCAAGACCTTCGCCAGGTGTCCAAAATAGTATAGGTAATTATTTAGGCCACCATATTAAGCCCTAAAGCCTGTCCGAGGTGCTAGCCTCAAAATTTCCTTGTGTTTAGGGTTTTAGCATGTTTTAGCAGTAGCGATTTTGTTTGGCCATGCAAGCAGCTGAAGGATCGTGTGGGCACATGGAAAATCATTGGTGAGTCTTAGCATGCTTTGAATCCAAGGCCTTTCGGAATGCGGGTCTGATTTCGAAACGCTAGCGATAAACTGGCAGTGCAAACGGCTAATCAGGACAGACTAGAAATTCTGAGAAACCCGAACATGTCTAAACTCAGACTGCGCCGGCGAGGATCATCAATGACCCGGAAAATAAATCGAAGAGCAGTAGCCGAGCAGCAGCCTCGCACCTCTAGGGCAGGGGGCCTGCCAGACAGGACTCCTCGAAAGATACCAACCTCGCTTGGCAGAGCCACAGGTGGACCCTATGCCGACACCTCATCTTGCATGAAGTCTCCTGGTGGCGTCTGAACCCTCAACCCTAAACCCTACACCTTGAACCCTACACCGTAACCTTAAGCCCAAACCCCTACATAATCGGCTATCCTTTCTCTATTGTTGGGTTTTGATAAGGAGACCTCTTCTACTGGATACGTTATATACTATCCCTAAGCCCTAAACCCCGAACCCGAAACCCCGAAACCGTGGCGAGTTCAATCTATTCAACCCTCAACCCTATACTACCCTTAAAACGGGGACCCCATTATAGAACCCTATGCTGCCCTGACAGGGGATCCTATTATGGAACCCTATGCTACAATCAAAGGGGACCCGATTATAGAACAATTAAAGGGGACCCTATTATCGAACCCTCTGTCACCCCCAAAGCACCCCCTACCTACGCCCTAGAAGATCAATCCAAAAGCCCGAACCCTCCGAGAGCCATCACCTAATACAGGGGCCCATACAATCTTGGGGGCCCAAAACCGTATTCTAATTATTGAGGCCCCTATCTTGCCTAGACCCCAAAGAACCTACCCTTTTAAGGACTTATGCTTTTAGGAAATCATAGTAAGGAACCCTTAAGACCGGAGGTTCTTAAGGGTCCAGGTAAACCCTAAATCCCCAAACCCTAAACCCTTAGCCCTCCGTAGACCCATCACAGCTGGAGTGCGACGCCCTTTCAGAAAGGCTCCGTTCATGCAAAGCTAGGCATGTGTCTTCACGATCAAGTGAGCCCTCTTCTGACAAGCACATTTGGGGCTTGATCGCGGATTTAGTCAATGTCCACAAGTGGAGCCTGAGTGATGCACTGACGGAGGTAGTGCAAGTTCGCGGTGACTTGGCGGCCATGTTGCAGCCTCGCAGCCAAATCTTGAAGATCAACAGGCAGCCTTTCAAAGGCAACGGCAAGGGGAAAGACTCCCCGGGCGGTAAGAACGGCAAGGGCAACAAGGGCAATGGCACCAACAGTCAACGCAGGATGCTTTCTTACACGGACTCCAAGGGTCAGCGCAAACAGTTGTGCCGTGGTTACAGTTCTCCAGACGGATGCAAGTTTGAAAACTGTAAATTCGAGCATCTCTGCCCGGTTCCCGGCCCAGATGGAAAGCCGTGCCTAGGGAAGCATCCTGCTTTCCAACACCGCAAAATCTGAAGGTCACAGTCGGTGGCGGAACACTCCGATGTGCGGACTGGTCGATCCAGCGAAATTCCGTCGCCGACTTCAGCGGATTTTTCTTGGGAAGCTTGCTTGGCTATCCTGCAGACTCACTGTTTGGGTGATGCTCCTCTCTACCGAGATACAGTTCTTGCAGGTGCGCGATCTCGAGCACAATATTTCAATTTTGGGGCGAGAGCGGGCTCCAATGCGGGGCTTTGCAAAGGCACAGCAGAAAACGCAGAATTCGTTGAGTACCTGAACATTTTCCTTCGGCAGATTTTTCCAGACGGCACATGGTCCAGTTTTTGTGTCAGTCACAATGAGTTCGCTCATATCCACGTGGATAAGAACCTTCCGGGATCTTTGAATTATTCATTCAGTGTCGGTGCTTTTGAGAAAGGCGGCCTGTGGGTGGCTTTGCTGCCAGACGAACTTCCTCACCTTCCGCGAGTGCCTCCGCCGGACACATCAGCTGATGCCTCGCTGTTGGGTTGCATAGTTCAGACCAGGAGGTGTGGTTTTTCTTGGGATGGCCGCATTGCTCATTGTTCGGAGCCATGGGTTGGCGACAGATGGGTCGTGACGGCCTATACTTCTTGCACTTGGGGTTCAATGCCTGAACCAGATCTTCGCTCTTTACGTGATCTTATGTTTCCGCTTCCAGGCGACGCCATGGTGGTCGACGAGGTGTTGTGTGCGTCTCGGGCTGCCAAAATTGACCAGGCACAGCTGGGGCTACCAGCGGCGGTCATGCCTCCGGACCTTGAGGCAATTCGCGGAAATCTTTTTCTGGAGATCTGTTCTGGGCCAAATCGGCCTCTGTCTGCTGCCCTCCTGTCGAAGGGTGTTTCAGTGCTGTCGATCGACATTCTTTTGCATGAAGATCATAACTTGTTGAATGACTCCACTTATGACAGCCTCATGCGGCTCTGCTACAGCGGACAAGTGAATCTGGCACACGCCTCTCCACCTTGCACGGAGTACTCCAGGCTGAAGCTACGGGCAGACGGTGGCCCCAGGGCGATTCGCACTCCAGAACACATGTCTGGAGTTCCTGATTTGAGTCCATCAGAGCGGCAACGTCTGGAACAAAGTAAAAAAGTGCTGGTTCGTACAATCAATTTGCTTCTGGCAACATACTGCGCTGGAGGGCATGTTAGTCTGGAAAACCCTTTGAACAGCATGGCATGGTTGGAGCAGGAAGTCCGAGAATTTCTGCAACACATCAACGCGGACCTCAACTGTGTGGCTGCTTGTGGCTATGGTATGAATGTACTGAAGCAGTGGTGTTTCGCATGCAGTTTTCGGGATCTCCAGCAGATTGCATGTAGTTGCCAACACGATCCTCAGTCGCATGCACAGGTGGCAGGGATTGTTGACAAAGACGGCGTTTACGCTTCAAGGGCCACTTCGGAGTTTCCGGCACAGCTCGCACAGGCCTATGCAGAAGCTGTTCTTCCTTTGTTCGAGACTTCGAGCAAGCCGTACACCATTTCTCTTGAACAGGTTAGGTTTCTTCGAACTCACAAAACCAAGGAGGAACTTCCCCGAAGCACACAGGACGGAGGTGGGATCTACTCAATGCCGGATTGGAGTTTTCCTCCGAGCGGCTGCAAGGACCTCCTAGGGGGAGTGCGTAAGCAGCTTGTGGAGTACCTTTTCCACATCAGGGCCCCATTGCGATTGCGCGCCCATGTGGAGTCCGAAAGCGAACTCCCGCTGTTCACAGAGACTGAGGTTCGGCAGTTCAGGGAGATCTGGCAGCAATGGTTCATGCAACAGGGTGTGCAATCAATCGATTGGAGCGTGGCTGAACATCAACCTTACTCGCTGCTGGCCTTACAAAGCCTCTCTCGAGCCTTGCAAGACAGAGATGATGAACTCTTTCCAGCATTGATTGCGGGTGTTCCCACAGGTTTCTTCTCGGATATCCCGCCCAGTCATGTTTTCGTTCCGAAGCACAAGGATGACTCTTCCGAAGCCCCGGCGGAGCTTGTGATCTGTGATCGCAACTGGAAAGGGGCCAGAGAAAATCCTAAAATGCTTTCGAAATTGATTGATAAGGAGATTTCAGAGGGTTTTCTTGAAGAGCTTGATCTTGCTTCAGCTCAGCAGCGCTGGGAGAACATCGCAGTTGCCAAGCTCAACGTGGTTTTGGCAGACAATCGCAAGCCGCGCTTAATCATGGATGGGACAGTTTCTGGAGTCAACTCCTCTTGCTTCTTGAATGAGCGATACTGTCTGCCCTCGCTTAAGGACGTGCGCTCTGCATTCCCACTGCGCATGAACAACGAGGACTTGTCAGCTTTCAGCTTGGACATTCGCGCGGCTCACAAAACGATCCGCATTCGGGAGAAGGACCGGGGATTGGCGGGGATCAAGCTTGAAGACGGTCGCCACCTGTGGTACCGAGTTTGCCCATTCGGCACAGGTTTCAGTGCTCTGTGGTGGGCACGATTGTCGGCTTTCATGATCCGAACCTTTCATCTCTTGATCTGGTTGTGTCACGCTTTAGGCATCTTTGTCGACGACTTATTGCTATGGCAAGGCGACAAAGCAATCGAGATTTCAGGCTGCCTCATCCTCAGTTTTTGCCAAGCGTACAATGTGCCGCTATCGTGGCACAAACTGCAGTGCGGGTACAGAGTGAAGTGGATAGGATGGCTATTCAATTTCAGATCAGGGACTTTCAGTCTGCCAACCGACAAGATTGAGAAAATTCTTCGTTCAGTGCGGGTTGTTCTGCGGCCAGGCAACGTGGATCGCTGCGATCTTGAGAAAACGGTGGGTTTGCTTCAGTGGGTAAGCCAGATTTCTCCTGAACTCCGCCCCTGGATGGCATTCTTGTATTCGGATCTGCATAGACCGGTGGCAACAAACCATCATGTGGATTCTGGCGAGTGGCACTTGCTGCATGAGTACTTGGATGAAAACCTGCGGTTCACCAGCCAACCTCCGGGCACAGCCATTCCACGAGGTGCTCGTCTTTTGTCTGCCAGGCACGTTGAACTGCACTCCAAGCAGGACTTGAACAAAGTTCCTCTGACTTCGCGTCGGATATATATGCGTATCTCTGATCCCAAACATCCCAAGCGCAAGCTTTCGGAATGCAGCCGCAAGTTCATGGAGTTTTGGGAATCGTGGTGCATGCGCAGCCCATTGGAGCAGTGCCTGCACCTTCCTCCACGCGGAGTATTGCATGTACCTTGGCGGCGGATGCTTGTGCTCAGGGTTCATCTATCGGGATAGGTGGTTTTCTTCGTGTTGAGGGCTCACCCGTCTTGTGGTTCAGCGAGCGATTTGAGAAGTCGGATTTCGATGACTTGAACATCCCTCTCGACAACAACACTCAGAAGAATATTGGATGCTGGGAGCTCCTGGCTCAAATTGCTCTGGCACTTCTTTTCGCAGAGACTTGCCCGGGCGGACGATGCAGGCTTCAGCTGCGTACTTTCTGCGACAATGCCTCTGCGCAGGCATCGGCCAATCGTTTGATGACTACGTCATCCCCGCTCTGCTTCTTTGCTCAGCAACTGGCTTTTGTCGCTTTTAGACACGGGATTACCCTGGACGTGCACCACATTTCGGGCTTCCGCAACGAGGAGGCAGATTACTTGTCCCGCTGGAATGGCACGGACCCTCTGCTGCCCGAGTTCGCCGAAAACTTTCGCTATCGCTACCCAGTCAAACGCATGTGGCAATGTGATAATGATGTGAGAGTGTTCCCGGAGGGCACTCGGCTCCTGTGGAGTCCTCCGTGAAGGCAGCCATTCAGTCGTAGCACGATTTCAATTGGGGCTCTTGTCCCAGCGCTCCTCCTTCTTTGGCTGTGGCAGTTCTTAAGGGGGGATGCATCTTGATAAGTCCGATACTTTGGTATCTTACTTACTCGAGTGCTTTCCACCACAGCCAAAAAGAAGGAAGGGTCCGAGTGCAGTTCTGTAGTTCGTTCGCGAGACCGGATGAATATTTCATAAATTCATACTTTATATATTATTGTTTCTGGAACATATATCCTCGGATTTTCTTCATGATATTTGAAAGCTTTGCCTGCCGAATATCTGGTCTATTTCGTCGTGGTGTGCCGACGGCTGTTGTGAAATATAAAACGATCCTTGTGCTTGCTCAAGCTTGTTTTTATGGAACAACAACGCGGTTTTTATGCAACTCCCTTTGTTTGCGGTTTACATTCCTTTCACAACGGCTGTCGGCCCAATGAGCAACATGTCGAAGCACATGTTTTCGCAAAGACCCCACCCTCCCACCCATGAGCAGTGTGTGCTCATGTGGTCTTTGTTGCATGCGTCGGTACTCTTGTTCTTTCGCGCCTGTCAGGCATAACTGTGTGTGCGCCATATTTTCTCCAGGCTTCACGTGTGTGAGGCGCTTGTACAACCATTGAGGTGGTGCATCAACTAGTCACTACGAAGGCTCTTCGAGCACAGGCGCTGGTGATCACGTTCTCTTGGTGGGAGCTTGTGTCTCACTGGGCATGCTTTTCCAGTGATGCATCAGGGTGCTATCCTCCCTTCCAGGATGTAATTGGGTATTTACGTTTCTGTACTTGTTGTGGCTACACCGCTATTTAAAACGAAGGGGGATGCATCTTGATAAGTCCGATACTTTGGTATCTTACTTACTCGAGTGCTTTCCACCACAGCCAAAAAGAAGGAAGGGTCCGAGTGCAGTTCTGTAGTTCGTTCGCGAGACCGGATGAATATTTCATAAATTCATACTTTATATATTATTGTTTCTGGAACATATATCCTCGGATTTTCTTCATGATATTTGAAAGCTTTGCCTGCCGAATATCTGGTCTATTTCGTCGTGGTGTGCCGACGGCCGTTGTGAAATATAAAACATCGAGAAGTTTGAGCTCGGGAACGCCGGCTTGGTGGAGATCTTTGTGTACCAGTGGTCGCGAGTGCCGTGGGTCAACGACGACTTCCACTTCCTCATGCCGGTGCGTTCCCCCTCGCTGGAAACCCAGGCCGAGCGTTCGATACTACTGCTGCATCACGACAACCACTACGTGCTCATTTACGACTTCAACAAGCTTTCGAGTACTCGCAGCCTCTCGTTTCCGACGAGTCAGCAGGCAAGCACACACCACTCCTGGAACCGCTGCCATCGTTGCTTGGGCAACTTCAATACCCCGGAGGCGCTCGGGAGGCATCTGGCTGGGAGGGTCTGTTCTGAGGATCCCGGCAAGCGCCAGGTTGACAAGATGCTGATGCCGGAGAGAAGCGCCGCCACGCTCCACTACAAAGCCGGCCCTTCAGCTGCCATGCATCCCTGCGTTTGCTACGCCGACTTTGAGACCTTCAACACCAAGGCGCCCCAGCAACTTGCCGGTCAGAGCGTTCTAGCCAAGCAGGATCGAGTCGCATCCTTTGCGTACATGGCGGTCGGACGTTGCGGCTTCCAGGTCCCCTCGCTACATCGACTTCGGCTGGAGCGGGCGACCGAGGAGTCTGGCGAGTTCGGCATCGTGGAGCTCTTCCTCCGCAGTCTTCTCGAGCTGGTCAAACGCTACCGAGAGTGGCGTCTGCGCACAAACAAGCCCTGCCGTATGACTCAGGCCGACCAGCGTCGCTTCAACCTCGCCGAGACCTGCGAGATCTGCGGCGGGGGCTTCGAGCAAGGGAATCCTAAAGTGGCGCATCATGAACATGGGACGGGCAAGTTCCTGAGTGCGGCTTGCAACAAGTGCAACTTGCTCATCCGCCTGCCGACGAGCCTGCCCTGCTACTTCCACAACGGCGCCTCCTACGACTTCCACTACCTGCTCCGCTTCCTGGCCCATGAGAAGGGTTATGAGCGTCATGAGGACGACATCGCCACGCTCCTCGGCGAGACTGCGGAGTCCGACGGCGACGATGACGACGAGGGCGAGGGGGACGATGACAGGTACGATCCGTGGCGCTGCGACCTTTCCAAGATCAAGCTGGGTGCTCTGGTGAAAAGCGGGGAGAAGTGCTTGATGCTGTCTTTCGGGCCTCTGCGCTTCCTCGACTCCTTGAACGTTTTCCCGACCAGCTTGGCCTCCTTGATCGAAGACTGCAAGGCGAGCTGCTTGAATCCCAGCGAGGCCTTTCCCCTGCTGACGCGGCGCCATCCCATCTTCGCGGAGGCGGAGCTGGGCACGCCCGAGCGTCGGGCCAAGGTTCGGGAGTTGCTGCTCAAGAAGATCCCGATGCCGTTTGACCTCTTTGTGATCCGGTTTGCTGGTCGTGGCCGGCTTTGCTTCCTCGCGAGGCCTACGACAACACGCTCACCGGCGAGGCGTGCTCCGAGGAGAAATACGAGACCGTCAAGCAGATCGTCGAGTTCTTCGACTTCGAGAGCTTCGGCGCATTTCATGACACGTATTTGCGCACAGACCTCGCGCTGGGAAATGTGATGGAGCGGTATCGAGACACGTTTTGGGACAACTTCCACCTCGACCCCTGCCAGTACATCACGCACGCATCGGCGAGTCATGACGCCATGTTTCGCAAGTGCTGTCCTCGTCGGGGTCTCGGTCTCGGGCTCATCACCGATGGGAGGGTGTACGAGCTGACCAAGGCGAACATCAGAGGAGGCCTCGGACACATCGCTCAGCCGTTTGCGGCGGCTAACAACCCCATGTTGCCCGACTTCGATCCCTCTCGAGAGCAGTCGTGGATTCTGTTCTACGATGTGAACAGCATGTACCCTTCCATCATGGAGAAGCCGCTGCCAACCGACGGCGGTCAGTGGGTCGAGATGCCCGCGTCCAAGAAGGAGAGGCTGTGCTACCTCAACATGCTCTTCGATCGGGTGGACTACGAGCGGGACGATGAGGAGGTTTGCTACATGATCGAGGCGAGCTTCGATGTGCCGTGGTTTCGCCACTCTTGCGTGGATTGGGCTCCCGTCTGCAAGATGTCGGTGACGAGGTCGCAACTCAGCCCTTACACCCAGTCCCTCATCCAGGACGGCCAGGTGGTTTCGGCGACGCCTAAGCTCGTGCCTTACTTGGGCTTGCATCTGAAAGAAGCCGTGGACCTCCGGTACCTCAAGTTCATCGTGGAGCACCTCGGCGTTCGGGTCTATGACGCTCACAGCTGTGTGGCCTTTCGGTGCCGCCCCTTCATGAAGAGCTTCGTTCGCCAAACTGTGGAGACTCGCCGCGAGTACAAGAAGAGCGGCCGCAAACTGCAGGCGGAAGTTCAGAAGCTGACAGGCAACGTCCAGTACGGCAAGATGGTGCAGAACCAGGAAAGCTTCAGGGCCACTCGCGTCTACACGGACGGCTTGAAGTTCCAAGCGGCGGCGTCCAAGCCCAACATGCTGGACATCCATCCGCAAATCATGGAGGAGCGCGCTTTCTTGGCCTTCGTCGACGTTCAGAAGGCCGGCAAGGCGAATGTCTTGAGATCCTTTCTCCAAGGCGGCTGGAAGGTGCTGGAAGAGTCGCGCTTGCTGATGATGAAGGCACACTACGGGATCCGCCTCGTCTTCGACGGCGATCTTCTCAAGAGCGTCGACCCGGCGGACGAGCCGAGCGACTTGAAGCTGAGATGGCTGGGCGGGGACACCGACAGTAGCGTCCTGCAGATCTTCAACGATCAAGACCCGAAGATCGCCCTGGCGAAGGCCAACTTGCGAGGCGCCGCTCCTTTCTTCGATGTGGCTGGCGATGCGAAGGGCGCCGCCCTGAAGGAGCACCTGGCTCCGCTGTGCGAGGAGAGCCGAGAGCTCGCGCTTCGCCACGCTGGCGAGCTCGGCAACTTCTCGGACGAGTTGGCGCCTCACTACGGCGTCGAGTGGGTCGGCTTGGCGCCGAAGATGTACTCGCTTAGCAAGACCGAGGGCGAGAGCAAGGAGCGGGCCAAGGGTGTTCCGAAGAGCGAGCGCAAGAAGCTGGACCACGAGCTTTACCGGGCCATCTTGGAGAGTGGAGGCGAGCACAAGGTGGAGTTCCGCCGCCTGGGCTGCCGTCATCATGTGCATGAACGAGGTCGTGGGGATCCACAAGCGCGGCCTCACGGCGCTGAACACGAAGACTTGGCAGCTCGATGCGCATCGCTCCAGGCCGCTCGGGCACTTCAAGAACAACGAGGTCTGGGCCGCGTGCTGGGCGGCGCTGCAGAGAGGGGCTCGTGGCTTCGAGGAGCGGTCCGATGTGGCGGCCTTCCACCTGATGAACCACATCCTCGGCTTCGCGTATGGCGAGGTCGGCTTCTTGCATCGCGAAAGGCAGAGCAATGGGCAGTTCGTGGGCAAGCTGTTCAACACCAGTTACCTCCGGTCGCGCTGAAGAGTTTTTTAGGCTTGCGGTCAACGGGTTGATAGCGCTTTAATTTAGGATGTTGTTTTGTAAAACTGGGTTAGTTTTACTTCTTCCGTTTGAGTTGGAAAGAAAACTTTCAAAGTCTTTTTCTCTTGAGAGCAATTCTTGTGTGCATGGCTTATGATATGCTCCCGCCGTGAGGTTGTGCTCAAGGGAGCAAGTGAAGGCAGCATGGCAACATGGGCATAAAATTTTGTACAGGAGTTTCCGAGCAGTCGTCGGAGAACTCACCGCGCAGCACAGGGCTCGAGCGGGTGAGGCTTTTTGCGAGCTCTTCCCTCTAGGACCCTAGGACTCTAGGATACATGTCATAGACTTTTGTTTATCTAGCACTTCGATGCTCGATTAAGCTTTGCACGCGCACGAACGATGCGCCGGGACTTCCACATCCGCTGCTAGGGCGGGATGTGCTACAGAAACAACCCTCCAGAAGGGGTTCGCCGA